ATGCCTTTTTACTCAGTTCAATTTATTTCTTGACTCATTTTTTTTTTGTTATTACCTTGGTGGAAATTTCTGTTTATTATTACTAGGTATAATCTGTAAAGTTGTGGTTTATGAAATATTTTGTAACGCTCTTTTTTGTATTTTATGAAAATATTGTGTAAAAATTGATATTAACGAACTTATACGTTTGTATTCTTTTCTTTTCCTAAGAATCTTTAATAGGTATTTAGACGACTCTTTCTATAGATTGAAAAAGGTAATGTATTTTATAAAACCTTATACACATACAGGTCGCCAACAAATTTTAACTCAATCACTTGAAAAGTAACACCTTTCATAGATTTTCGGTACACGTTTAACAAGTAAGTTAAGCTGTCTATTAACTAACATCATCCGGATTCGAACCCGCTACATCCGTCTGGATCCTCCGCCGCACCCGAAGCACAATGTTATATCTGAGACAAAAAGGCCCAACGTCATAATTAAAAAAATCTCGTGCCTGCAAAGAAAGGGGGAAGTGGCGCGAAGCAAGACGGATGGGGCGCCACAGAGGGGAATAGCAAAGACAATGCCGCTTTGGAAGCGATGCTTAATCATAAATATATCAAGCGGAGACACTCAGGCTCTGGGCACACTTGTGACAGACCACATATGCATTAAAATATAATAAACATTGATATAACGCTTACAACTACACGATTGAACAAGGAGAGCACTTGTCAAAAAGGTTATATGAATTTTATTTGAATAACAAAAAGACGCAAAGGTTTAAGTCAAACTGATTACTAAGTTCTGTTTTTAATTGTATTTAAATATACAGCCATTATCATTTAAAGTTACCACAAACAAATTTGTTTATTTTAAATTAGAATCAAATAAAGGTTAGCATTAATTTAATAACATATGAAAGGTATGTGCGTATGTATGTATGGCCTTAAGTGTGCGAGTAGCTCAAGAACCTCCAAGAAGGTGTACATTGCCGTATGCACGTTAAAGGGGGTGTTAAAACAAAACGAATGAATCCGGACAAAGGAAGCGACGCGTGTCTGCGATTAAAAGACTTCATTCTATCATACATAACATATTTTGATTAATGAAAGTCATCTTTATATACAAAGGGCTTTGTTGATTACGATTCAAAAGGATCTTGTTTTAGAACCGGCTTTTAGATACGTGAAAAGGTTTTATATAATCTGTCATTTATTTAACAAATATATGTATAATCTTAGAAATGTCGTAGCAGAAATTAAATGAGTTATGATAAGTTAATTAAACTAAAAAGTATTTAATACTACGGCACATTTGATATGAGCTCGAGTGTAAACAGTATTTCAATCAATGAACAAAACCCTGATTGAAATGCGATGTTTAAAGTAGAGTTGATTAGCAACTAGTTGCCTCGCGACTCCGTCCGCGCGATCCATTGTCAGTACGCTCTACAGATAACTAAACACTGTTAGTTATACTACAGGGTTGACGTTACAAATACACGTTTAAAAACACGTATTAAGAACATAATACATACATATTATAATCATTATTATACTTCTCTTGTTTATTTTAAGAAAAATCTTGATTGCTAGATCTTTTTACGAGAATAAAATTGATTTTTAATATCGATTATCAATGTAAGCGAAACTATTTTTGCTTGAGTGCGAATAGAATATTTGATCGGATTTCATGCGAATTATATCAACAAGTTAGCAACATTGGAATAAAAAAAGGATATTTAGAAAAATAGCAACCCTAAAGACAGCTTGTAACAGGGGAGGCGGTTCTCACTGGTTCGCGTCTCGCTTATAAATGCTATTTTAACGCGGGAAAAAAGATTAATTAACTAATTGAGATGCCCGACATCCCTGCACTTTCATCTGCTGCTAGTTGGCATTGTGTCTGGGGTAATGACACTTGTCACTTAGATATGCTAATGTACATGTTTAGTTATCAACTCTCCAGCGCAGACTCCCGATTACAATGATCCTTTTTTTGGTAGGAATGTGTCAAATAAGCTGACGAATAGTTAAGCCCTTTGATAATCTGTGCTATTTAAGTGTAATGACAGTGACAGTTCGCGTCAACATTTTTTTTTTTTTGCTAAATGATTGTCTTTTTTTATTGATTTTTTTATAATTTTCTTAGATTAACAGAATAATAAAAGATTTTCTAGTATTTAATGATTTTTTTTCACTTTTAATTTGTTCTACAAACGTTCTTTTAAGACAATATATAATAAAAACATATCTACGTATGTGATTAATCCTTAAATATAGCAGTTATATAAAAATGTTACGATTTCCGCATTTCTATCAAATGTATTTTAAAATGTTTTTGATAATTAGAATGGCTTAGACTTTTAAGTACATTTGAATTAAAACGAATATATAAATTGTCCATTTATTTTACTGTTTATAAGAATCGATTATAAAAATTGTCTTAATAAATTTTGAATGACATTGAAGTCAGAAAACCTTACTATTTCTACATTAGAAAGAAAAATTCTCGTTTCTAATTGAAATAATGAGATTGTACAGAACAGTTAAATTAATAAGGTATTTCTTTAAGATGCGATAACTTTAAGAAAAACATATATATAGTAATTAAAACGCTGATTATACAACCGATAATAATTATTGAAAATTACGTGTTAAATGAACTGTAATCTGTACAGTTCTCATTTATACTACATATAAAACAAATTACACACGAAATTCACTGTCAGTAATACATATGAAACATACGCTTTCCAGTTACATAGAGTTTTTAATACAAGCTAACATTATATCGTACACTGTGTTTAATTAAAGCCAAATTTAATCAGCGCATTATAAGGCAACGAAATTCAGCATCGTATCTGAAACAATATGGCTCGAATGTTTAATTAGCGCATTGCAGGCTGTGGGGAGGGGTTTTGGGAGGAGGGGGCTGAGCTCTGAGGAGTGGGGGGAGGTGTTATTCATTAAAATGTTTGCGGAAACTCGTTTAGCGCCGCTGCGGTAGTCGCGCCGCCGCTACAGGGCTGTCTTGCTCTTAATTACTTTTGTAATAGGGGCTTTAAGTTGTTTTTTTTTATTATTAATAGGAATTCTATATTAATATTATTTGTACATCTCTTGGAGTTATTTAATTTTATTTGTTTGTGCCTCTATATAGTTCTTATATTGAATTAACCACATATTATTAACTTAGAAATAATTCGTTTCTAATTAATACCTTACAACATAATACGTACAACATAAAATCTCAGTCTAATTCTGTACTTTGCAATGAACAGAAACGTTATATATATAATGTATAGCATTATTTTTCATTTAATACTAATATTCATGTATTAAATGAAACATTTAGTAATTCTTAACGTAATCTGTCAGCCCTGTAGTGTTCACGGGGCACGAGTAACATTCATTTGCTCTCGTAATCGCAGTTTCCGTTATCTGCAACCCACTTAGTAAAGCCGTTTGTTTCGTTCCTTTGCCAATTATATTTCGCTTCTACATAATTAAGAAAGTACCCTCCGGTATTACTTTGCATGCGCCCATGTATACATTAATATTTAGTACTAGTTTTTGCCCGCGACTTCGTCCGCGTTAGTTTGGTCAAGAGTAATATATGTAGGTATAGCTGACCAGGCGAACTCTATTCCGTCTTAGAGGCCATAAATAATCAGGTTTTTCCTGTTTCAATCAAACAGAATGATTGACATATTAGTTGTCAAATCTAATGTCAAAGAAAACGTTTGTATGGGAAATAGAAAAGGGCTGTTTTTAGGGTTTTCCCGGCAATTATTCCAATTTTTCTCACCTTTTAAACCTTCCCTGGACTTCCAGGAGTATTTCAAGACTAAAATTAGCCAAATCGGTTCAGCCGTTCTCGAGTTTTAGCGAGACTAAGGAACAGCAATCCATTTTTATATATATAGAAGATAAATATTGTTTTATAAAAATGTTAAATATTTTGGATAGGTACATTTTATTTAAAGCGTTTAAATTAAACAAAACATTGACCAGTACAACTTATAAAATTATTATCTATAACTAAAAGAAAAATTTATAACTATTAATATTTAAAATTGATACTACATATATTACCGTTTTTTTTGTCTGTTGTACTATAATTTAATATGAAGTAAATTATTTATAGGTTTTATTATTGTGTTAATTAAAATATTTATTATTTTGAAGAAAAAGTCGCTTCATATTCTTCGAGATAATATTCTTGTAAACTAATAATAACTAATATTCCCAAATAATAATGTGAATGCACAAACTAAGAAATATTAATTTTGAAAACTTTTAAACGATGATTCAATATAACTAGGGGGTATTTTATTTGTAATTATTTTATCAACGTCGAAACTTATATTTTCACCTGAAAAAGCTCGCGTTGTACAATTAGGTAATTAATTAATCCAATATATTGATGTAAATAACTTTATAATCAACAAAATAATAACTAAATAACTAATCGCTAATAAAAATCGATATCTTGAATATAAATTATAATTTACACATACATAACCGTCAAAAAGTTTTACCAGTTAACATTTTTATTACTTAACATGTACAAATAAATTCAAACGCCTCTAAACGCGTAACAAACTTTAAAATAACATCGTTCAAACGTACATTCAATACGCGACTCTACGGATTTCGATATCTCATTAACGGTTAGCGAGAAATTAACCACATTTATACAAAATTTATATTTACAGATACGCCATAACTCAATCTACACATATTTTAAACAACCCCCAACGAGCCGTTTCTATTGGATGACGTCTCCAACCCCTAGGGCGTTCGGCCAATCACACTTACCCATTATATTGCGCGAGGGTGGAGCCGGGGTAGTTTATATCACAGTATTTCTCCTGACTCAAATCAGTGTAGTTCTGTTACCCTCGCGTGTTAGGGTAAAAGTTCGTGAGCGTGATCCTCAACTAAACTCGAGCGAGTGGCGATGTTTTCCAGAACTTGATTTGAGATATATGTTATTTGTAAATTAAAATGGCGGGACCGTATTTGTCGCCGTTGCCGGGGGATCTTTTGACGGAATATATGTTCGGCAGACGACGGCAGAGACGAAATAGGACGACCTTCACTCCTCAGCAGTTGAGCGAGCTGGAATCATTATTCCAGAAGACTCATTACCCTGACGTGTTCCTCAGGGAAGAAGTAGCGTTGAGAATCAGTCTGTCCGAAGCACGAGTGCAAGTACGCATCTAGAGATTTACTTAACTAAATCACTATTATCAAAATCATTTTAATATCTGACCAAATAAAGTTGAAACTAATACCTATCATAAAAAATTGTCGTGACGGTTAAACACTTTAAAAGCTAATCAAATTTAATTCCACCTGAAAAATTACCTATATGTAATAATTAAAAGTTTCATGAAAATTAACTATGTACAAGAATTTAAAAGTTAACAGCAATTTTTTCTATATAAGGTCTGGTTTCAAAATCGACGAGCTAAATGGCGTAAGCAAGCTCGCTTGCAGCTTTTGCAGGACGCATGGAGAATGAGGTGTTTGGGACTTGGAACACCTCCACTTGGTATACCAGGTCGGTACATCATCAGGGAATATATACATATTACATAATACATATTTAATACATAGTACATAACTCTCCATAGAAGGCGAATTGAATCTAGGATTAGTTTTGACGATGCTAACTTTAAAATTATGTCGAACATATATTTTTTATTTGAATACATTTTATAATCACTAACAAATAAATAAATGTCTATTATAGTAGATTTAGTATAAAAATTTGATTCGGAATATTTCTTTGAACTGTGGAGTGATTTCAAATACTAATAAATATATTTTAAGAAATTTCTACTCACTCATCAATGGTGTGAATTCTTTTGTTTTCTTTCTTTATTTAATTATAATAATAAATTGTGGTATAAAAATTATTTAAAAATGGATTATGATGTTAAAACAAATAATTTAGGGAATGATTGACATGTTCACTCATAGTAATGCAATCATTTTTTATATAAATTTGAAGTTGAAATATTATTTGTACATTACTTTAATTATATTAGTTTATTTTGCATATTTTTTATAAACTTATAAGTGTTAATATCTAAACCAAAAGATAACTTAGTTTCAGTTCTGAAAATATTCTCACTTAACCATTTCACGTCTTTTGACTTTTATTCAAACATGGCTAAGTTTTGATTACATTTTTTGTTTCTATTATTATATGTAAAATGAAATAAGTACATATGATTTGCTTTAAGCTTTATAATTCCAGATGCCACTAATGTTTAAGAGATTTAAAAAGAACAAATTGTATACTATAGTATAAATAAAATAAACATAGTTTTACGAGTCGTATTTAAATATTGGAGAATTATCGTCTAATTATTAACTTTTGTTACAGGTCACACAAAACCACCTGAATCTTCACCAGAAGGTGGGGAATCGCCGCCACCTAAAGAAAATTTAGATACACAGCCTAATGAAAATACTTCTGGTATGAAATCACCTCAACAGGAGACTTATCATCACAACGGAAATATGTCCGACAATTTACCCATACCACATGAAATACCACCTCCAATGCCGTACGCAAATGACGAGAGAATACTTCAACAGCCACCGTTCCCGTTCCCGCCATTATTGATGCAACAGCAGATGGACAACGAAATAGCTCCAACCGATTTGAGAATGGCTAAAAGCAATCCATGTCATTGCACAGGAGAGGAGATCAATGAGCCGGAGAACTTAGCATATCGGAAACGAAGCGATGACGTCAGTGACAGCGAAAGCGACACTGAAATAGATCTAACATCACACTCCAAAGATGATGATTTAAGAGAATCGGAGAGACTAGCGAAGAGAATAGCAACTAATATGTTCAGAAGTGACACCGTGCTACACGATCTGTTACCTAACGATCTCACTATGGCGGTAAAAAACGATAGGAACGGTAGAAATGTAACGATGTAACTAAATCAGCTGTTTCTAGTATACGCAATTTGTATTACATAGAATTTAGATACTGTTAATTATTTATTTTTGTATTCTGTTACGGTACCCGTGCCACGAGATTCATTCTCATTTATAATTTAAAGTTTTTCATTCATAAATCTTCGCTATTATTGGTTTATGAATAAAAAATATTAGAAACTTGATGGAGTTTGCAGTTTAAATTTCTGGCAAGGGTACAAAATGCTGTTGTAGATAGCTTAATGTAAGACGTGTAATATTTTAGGTTGTTTTCCTTATAGTTCTAGTTTAGGATGTAAATTGAATAATAGAAAATAAGATCATTGTATTTATTTTCAAGTAACTTAGCGTTTATAATAGCTGACGTCACACGACATTCTCGATGTGAAAGTGTCATGATTACGTCAAATTATTATCACAATAAAAAACAAAATAATTTTAATCATAGTTTCTTATTTACAAAATCGTAAACAATAAAACAGGTACAAGTTGATAGGTAAGTAAAATTAATAATTAATCAAGTCGAGTTAAGATTTAATTAAAATATGAGATCTACATTGAAACATCTTAAACTTATGTCTTTTAAAAATCATGAAAATCTTAAACTAATTTGAGCTTTACATTTCAATATAATCAGTCGGTTAGTTTACATCAAAGTTTTTTATTTTATTCTTAAATTATATATAAATATAAAGCCTTACATTAAATGTTTTTGATATGGAATAAAACGGCAGCTGATAGAAAATTTGGGAACACGTTTATAGCTTCTGGGTGACTTTCATTCTGTAAAAAAATAAAAAAATAAATATTAAATTGGTTTTATCGATGGTAATAAAACATTTATGATTAGATTAAATAGGATTAAAGGAATGTTTAGGTAAACATTTTTGTCATATTTTATCATTTATAGCAATCTTCTCAAGTTATGACTCATTTATTATTTTTTGGCAATTTGAAGTAAATTATATAAGTAAGATAGGTGCAAACATTTTTAGTATATTCTGTAATCAAAACGAAATTATATATTACGGTTATTTAAGAAAATTCCGAGTAAAAGTAACGATATGAGAATCCTTTGACATTTTTAATACATTCTTAATAATAAAGAAACTCAATTTTAATGAAATAATTAATACCATACTAATATATTCTACTGTTAAAAAAATTATTATTTTCATCTTACTACCTACACATACTGTCAACGTAACCTTTATAACTTTTACTTACACTTTACGATCCTAATTGATATTTGATTCATTTAATTAGTATTAACCTAATTTATTGAAAACTCTAAATTTTAGTCACAACTTTCAATTTTATTTTCATTATACATCCTAACTAAAATATATCATCCATATTCAACTATTATGTATAGTCCAAATTCAACTACCTCATAATCTTATTCTTAGACAGTAGCAATTTTCTATCTACTACAGATAGTCATTTTAAACCCATTCTATATTACTATATATCTACAGATTCTCATATTTTTTTCACATCATAGTAATTAGGATAATTAAATAAGTACTGTTTGTAAATAATCGAAATAGTTTAAATTTTCCACAATACAACTACATACAACTATCTTAACATATTCTATATTACTATATAGTTGTACGAGTATATTCAAATGTATTATTTACACCAATTACAATCAGAAGACTGTTTGTAAATAATATAAATATTTTGATATTTCCATCAGAATACAACCATATACTCTTCTTCTTCCTGGCAATTTCCCAGCTTCAGCCAGGGTCTGCCTTACATGTTGTGAATAGTTTTGGCTAATTGTTTTTACGATCGGCCGCCTGCCTGACATGAACCCTCTTTGGGAATGCATTAATCAGTGATGCCTAAATACTCTTACAAAGTACATACGACTCGGAAAAATCACATTGGTACTTGCCAGGACCGAACCCGCGCCCTCGTGCATGAGAGGCGGGTCTTTTAACCACAATGCCATCACTGACTCGGAATACAATAGAATATAACTTTATACGTACCAATTAATCTCTCAGTCTGTTATAAACATCTCGTGTCGTGTTGAGCGCACCAGCCCGGCGCCAGTACATCAGGCCTCAGTCCTCGGTGGACCAGCCTCGTCCTTACACGTTGGAGACGAGGCTGGGCGGCGCTCGCTCCCGTAGTAGGATCAGACCACAGACGCTCTGCTACACTAGCGACTCGAGGGAACACTCTCGGATCTGACGAATAATATATTAACAAGCTCTTTATTAAACAATTTTAAACATGCCACAAAAATATGACACAGGAAAAATGAATAAATGAGTCTTTAGTACAACTCGCAATATGTTTTTTATGTAAGGTAACAAACAAGCATACTACTTTTACTACTTTTACTATATACTACTCGAAATGTTTCTTTTTTATGCGAAAGGTGGCAAACAAGCAGATTGCCTACTTGATGGACAGTAGTCACCGTTGCACATGGACAGGCAACAAGTCTTATGTTGCGGATGTATTACCAACCATGGTTATAAAGGAAGACGTAAGGGTGGGAATAAGGAAAAATTGGGAAAGGGTGGGAATAGGGAAAGGGCAACCGGCTCTCTCACTCATCGGACGGAACACAGCCACTATTAACTACTTTACGCCGATCTTCTATGAGAGGATGGTATTTCCCTGGTCGAGCCAGCTTACGTTCGAGCTGTGGTACAACAGCTAGACTCTACCACTCTATGATGTTGTTCTATTCCATTTGCTGGCTTCATATTGATATTACGTTCTTTACTAATTATCGTCTTGTTCAGTCTATGTGTTATCCACTTTTGTCCTAACCTACGTGGTCTTATATTGGAATGGACTTATCAAGTTTTATGATTTTAATAAGTATATATGACAAGATAATTTGAGATAAACTTTTTATCCACAAACTATTTGATGAAATTCGGTTGCGATAGAAAGAAGTGTGATTTAATAATATACCTAAAGCCTGACTATCCACATATTCAGTCCACATAGCCACTTCACCCCCCAAAACGTTTGGATCTCTTGGCAGTGTGTGTGCGTACATTCTTCTCCAGTTAGAATATTTCGTCTGACCCCAAAATCCATGGTCTAGGTACCACACGTCTTTGGGGACTGATATGACGTTGTAGCCAAGACGTATCAGCTGAATTAGCAAAGGACTGGATAGAGGTTCCCAAACTTCTATTACGTATCTGGAAGATAAACAATGAGCAATTAGAACAATAGCACTTTACGTATGACAAATATTTGTAAGTTCAGAAGCCCACTGCTGAGCAAAGGCCTCTTTCTCACATGGAGAAGGTTTGAGCATTAATCACCACGCTTGCTCAAGACGGGTTGGTGATTTCAAACTTATAATTGTGAAACTATAAGTCCAGATTTCCTCACGATGTTTTCCTTCACCGTATGTCAGTGGTGTCTAAATACTCGCAAAAAGTACATATGACTCAGAAAAATCACATTGGTACTTGCCATTTTTGAACCCGCGCCCTAAAATAGATTCAGTTCTGTGATATTCTAAATAGTACCTCTTTTTGTCCAAATGTTTTTGTATCCGGTGGGTTTGTGTCAGTTCGGAGGACCAGATTATGACCGGCTGTTTCTCTGTTTCTCCGATCGCTGCCAGTTCCTCGTCCCAAATATTGAGAGCCTTTTCGTGGAACTCTGACCATAAATTGATAAAACCTTCAACATTCCTGCTGTAACCTTTAGTCTGCATGTATTCTAGGATCGTGTTTGATGAGTTCCAGCATTCAAAGAATACCTGGAAATAGTAAAGATTGTATTGAATGTTATTAATTACAAATCTTTATCTGGGAAGTAAGTATGTAGATAATAAACATCCACAACTTGCTATGAAAACTGTTTTCAGGCAGCAAAAAAGGGGGCAGATATAGCAAAAAGAAATAATCTACTTACGTAAATATTATGACCTATTTGCATTCGTAACTATTGCATCCTTATATATATTGACTTTTTCGAATGTCACGTTTTTGAAACTACGTTCATTTGTAAACGTTTCCAATAGAGACAGTACGTGAAGAAAAAAATGAAAATTTCATTCAAAATACCTCATCACCGCCGATGTGAAATAGAGGTGGTTTGGTGAGTGTTTCAGCGATGTCTCTGTACAAGTCTCTCAACACTCTGTATAATGCTGGGTTGGCAGGGTTCAGTTGTCCGCAAGGTGGTTGAATACATAGCTGCCGCCAGGGGTTTTCGTTCACACAAACCGCCAGATCACCCAAACCATACTCCTGTAAATATTTATGTATGTTACAAATTAAATGAACATCGCCGGGGTAATATCGTTGTATGGATAAAATATCATATAACGAGTGACGCTGCTGACTTTGCGGAACGAACACCAAGCCGCGTGAACTAGAAGATTCCTTATATCCTATAAGCATGGAATGGCATTGCTATCCTAATATTGGAGTAATTATGTAGTTTTAGTTTTAATATGTAATTCTTATCATAATATACATATAAGTATTTTTTTTAGTTTTCCTGGAGCCTCTGGTTGCCACCCTACATAACTTAGGTGATTGTTAATAAAAGTATAAACTTTATAAAATATAAACGACGACGAAATCAGGAAAAAAGTCCACTGTTAAGAATTAAAAATACTGTTTACAAAACTTTACAATATCAATAACAGTTTTTCATATATGTTAATATTATCATGTGCTGAAATTTATGATTTTAAAACCTGCAACTCTTAGTTTAGATTAACGAAAGACAGTTATGGTGCGGCTAAAGCATAATGATTGATAAAAAAGAATATTATTAAAAAATGCCAACGTATTTTTAGCTCTACGCCTTTAGGATTATCCAAACAAAATGACGATTGAAATTGTATTTTAAAACAAAGTAATAAGGTTGAAAATAAATAATCTCAGTTTAATAATTCAATTTGAATGTGGATTTAATATAACTAGTCCGTTTGGATACTGAATTATTGTTATTAAACAATCACTTTGTTATGATTGCTTTCAAATTAAACATAATACAATATAGGTAGTAAAAGTAGTACGTGTAGGTCTTATCTTTTAAACAAAGCCATTCTACTCAAAAGCCCTAAGAAGTACATTTTTATATTTTTTTAAATATAAAGATGTCTTAGTGTTCATGTATTGACACGTTCATTAATTCTATTGTGGAAATCTCATTGCAAAAAAGTAAAAACTGAAACTGATTTATCTTTGGGCAATTTTAAAGAAGTCTACATTTTATGTGTATCGAATGAATCATTAGATTTTGATGAAAGTAACAAAAAAAATTAATATGCAAAGTCTATGTTTTCAAAACATAATTAAATTTTATTGATTCAAAAATCTTATCAAAATAGCTGAAAGTAGATCGAAGGGATTTACGATAAATCTATATATATAAAAGAAAGTCGTGTTAGTGACTTCACTTATAACCCAAGAACGGCTGAACCGATTCAGCTGAAAATTGGCAGGGAGGTAGTTTAGAACCAGGAAATTGCAATAGGATACTTTTTATCCCGTTAGACAGCATTCCCGTGGGACTTGACATGAAACGTCAGTCATTATAAAACGTGGAATAACACAATTGACAGCTATGCAATTGACGTATAATGACAGATATGTAATGACGTATGGATGACAATTAGATATTTGTAAAAAAACCTACAATATAAAAATAAAAATATTTAGGTAATGTGTTTGTAGTTTGAACTCTTAAAACCATTTAGTATTTGCGGGATAAATTTAGAAAATCAGTGTTTTTCACATGGGCAGTTATATTTTGCGTGTTCACGAGTTTGGAAACCATATGCTTTATTTGTGTTAAAGTTAGACCAAAAAACAAAAAATGTGGTTTAGAAAGGAGCATTTCAATGAAACGGATAATTTGCGGACACGTATAACGCTTCGATTCGGTATCTACATTGGATTCACTTTCATTTACTTAGAGAAGTTCAACTAAATAACACTTCATTTTTGTAATCGAAATGAATTCATTACTGTTGTGAAATGAAATAAAAATTTTCCTTTTCAAATATAAAACAAAAAAAATTTCATCTTTTAATCACCAAACGAAATGTTATATAAAAGCCTTCTGGTGGCGAAACGGAGTTCGCCGGGTTTACTAGTAATATATATGTATTGTATATGTAATAGTAATGATGTTTATTGCTTACATTCCCCCACTGCCAGCCATTGCCGGCGTGAGCTGGTGAGTCTATTTCAATAACGATTCGTACTCCGCGAACGAGAGCGTATTCCACCAAGCCACGTACTTCCTCCGAACTGTAGATCTCTGAGGCTGAATAAGCACCATATCTGAAAGGAACAAGCCATTTTGTACTTGCAATATCTTTATACATGGTGAAAGGACTTGGAAATCATTGCTGTCTCAGAAAAGTTAGTAAAAAATGCATTTTCTCTATCAAAAATATTGTTTTTTTTTTGCCTAAGATAGTACTACAAACCGAAGATGGTTGTTTGTGTATGTCATAGCTAGGTTATATTATGGTGTGTGCCCTGTCGCTGACAGATCTGGGATACATCGACATAGCGGCCGCATGTCGATGTACCCCGATGTCGTCATGGCTTTCGCAGTGGTTTTAGTAAGTAGGGGCCTGCCCAGGCCGAGCCTCACACATCCCTTCCGGCCTCACCAAGGCCGGTTGGACGGCTCGTAAAAAGAGTTTCCCTGCGTTATCAAAAAAAAATATTATGGTAGGGCTTACTTGGTAAACTGTGGCACTCGTCTAGATTCCAATGGAAAGCTGTGTGAATCTGTTACGTGCCAGTGGAACACGTTCATCTTGACTGTAGCCAAACCGTCGATCATTCTTTTGATATCCTCCATAGGAATGAAGTTTCTTGACGTGTCCAAAAGGAATCCTCTGTGCGGGTACACGGGTTTGTCCCATATTTTGGCACCCGCAACTATACGGAGCCCACATTTATTTTGTTCCAACAAATCTGGCTTATCAGCCGAAATCAGCTGCGTTAATGTTTCCAAACCATGGCGTGCTCCGAAAACCGTTTCCGCGATAACTTGAATTACGACGCTGGTATCTGGAAATGAGTTTAAGGAAGTTTTTAATATTTTCTCTTTTTTTATATATCAAAGGTAACAAACGAGCAGACGGTCCACTTGGTGGAAAGTAGTAACCGTCGCCCATGGATAATTGCAACATAAGAAATGTTACAGATGCGTTGCCAACTTCGATTTTGGAAGAGGGACAGAAAAGTGAAGGAAAGGGTGGGAAAAAGGAAAGGACAACCGACTCTCTCACTCATCGGACGAAACACAGTCATTAATGACTACTTCACGCCGATCTCTTATTATTTGTTTGAGCTTTGAAATTTTGATTCACCTTTGCTCTGGACATCCAAGCGGTATTGTTCGTCAGTCTTCCAAGTTAGGTTCATGTTGTTTGTCTTCACCGTAATGTGTACAACGACGGGCATCTCTACAATCTCCGTTACATTACCGTCACATTCACTTATAATATTCTGAGTGGCCACTTGAGACATCTCCGCCAATATCTTTCTGGTTTCTGCCGGCGCGTTGCTAAGATCGAATCTGGAATCAAATACATAAAAAAATTAATAGAGTAGTTTTTGTTAAACCTCAGAATTAGCGGATAAATATCAAATGAAAAATGTTTCTATTGTAGTCTAGTCGTATTTTAATGAAGATAGTGGGCGATACTGTACATTGTATTCACGACTTGGCTGTCAAATAAATGATCAAAGATCGTAGGTCGAGATACCGTTATGAGTTATCCATCTTATAAAACGTTCGTTGAACCTGAAATGCTTTACGCAAACACAAAATAAACATTCACTCCTAGCGTTGGTGTTAGATGACCTCACGACATAAACTTAAGACAAATCTATTTATATTTCAGTAAATATTATATATATTACTTTGAAGTATATAAAAAAGTACGGATTTTAATAATAAACCAAGATACGGATAGCATAACAATCATTTTAATTACTTTTTGCTACATAATCAGGTTGCTCAATTATAAACACCTGTACAATTGCGCTTGCTGAGTAAATTATAGTCCGAGAATGTAAAAGAAATACTTTTGTATTATGGATACATCGTTAGAATTTATGTAATTCTAAAATAGTTAAATATTAATCGCTAATTTAGTGCTTATATTAGAATGTTTAAGTATTTAAATGGGAAAAAAATAATAATAAGTATCCACTATGAATAAATGTTAGCCAATATGTATGAAGCAATCATTGTAACCTTTTATTGTGCTAAATATAATCTGTCTGAACGTCTCGTACAAAATAAAAGATTTGACAGCCATCCGCAAGCCCTTCTTAGTTATCAAGCGTGCAATGACCGCTCATACAGCTATATATAAATGATTCTTGAATTTAATTTTATAGGGTTAATAATTTATTACATCTAAGAAATGTATTAGACGTAAAAACTACCGATGATAATTATATTAAAAAGACAGACAAACGCTTTATCAATGTATAACATTAGTTGGAAAAGATTTCGTTTTAAAAATTTAAGTTTCTTTGTATAGTGATTTATTATTTGAGTGCTAACTGTTAAGACCGCTCCAACAAATTCTACAAACAGCTAAATGTTAAATGAAAGGTCAAGAACCTGAAATCATAAAATTAAATCGTAAATTAAAACGCACGTATCCATACCATTGAAAATAGACCGAGTGACGTTTACTAGTTTATATATTTTGAACAAATAAATTGCGCTTGCGTATTCCCGGTGACGTGTGGCTGTCAGAGAATACTGAAATAGATTTTGATGAGAATCTCTCAATATTATGCATACGTTAATATAATGTACGTTGCTTGCCATATTTGGAAATAGCATTAATCCTTTTCACAAGTATATAAAACCTTTTTCGTTACTTCAATATTCCAAATATGATTTTTATATATATAGATAACCTTATTTTTGATAACTCCTTAGTATTTCTGTGAACTCTGTGATATAATTCTATGCCTACGGCTGATTTAAAAATAAAACTACGATGACGCAATGTATCGTACTCCCGTTTTGTCACCTTATAGAAATAGACACAGACGTGTAAATAATATATGTATGTCGAACATAAATTATAAAAAAGAAAGATTTGTATCGTTATAATGAGCGGATCGTAAATAAAAGTACGTTTTGGTTTCAGAGAGATATCACATGATCACATGGCAAGTATTAAGACGTTCTAAAATCGAAACTAAGAGGCGAGTTATAAATGTTACAATTCTCGGGAGTTAATTCTATTTTTCATTTCAATTTATTACTAATATTATATACACTGTTCATAGTATATAACGATTTAAATATAATTTTATATAATCTGTAAAATTACATCCGTCAAAGCACAAAGAAGGATTTATTGTCATTTGGCGGGAAAAGGGAAAAATTCCAAATAAGAATTCACCTGAAGTTATTATAGACAGTATTTGGTCTATTTATGTGTCGTCTTAATCGTGATAGTCATTTTGAAGGACATGCTACTTGAAAAACGGCTGTAAATAATTATATGTACCGTCATCGTCACGCTACATGAGTCTGAATACACAAGGTTTTGTATTCACTTAATAATACATGTTCAATTGATATATGTGTTTGTGAATATTCATATATTTAACCTGATATTTGAGGGATATTATAATTTATTACATTTTTTAATGGGAAAATGTAACAAACATACAAAAACTATCTATAACATTGGTAGCGTAAATTTAATATTAAAGTTAATATTTCATATGAAGTCAAATAGTTTCGATTTATTGCTTTTAGTTTTTTTTTGTTTTGAGAAATTTTTGCAAAATAAGATAATGCATTTATGTTGTAAAGGTAAAGCCAGCAAAATTCGTTTCTGTAATTTGTCAAATATGATCGAATAAAATTTTGATTTCGTAATTTTTATCCAGTAAAAATCTTCATACTCACGATGCTGATTTACCTCGCTAAATTGTAATAACATAAATTGTTTTGTTAAAAATATTTAAATCAATTATCTTGTTAAAAGAAATTATAACACAAGACAAGTTTTTAAATACATAATGTATAATTTTATATTAGTCCAACAAATAAAAACTTTGACATTGGCAGAATAATCCACGATTGCAGTGCGAATGAAGGCATAGTAAAAAAAAATTAACATTTGACAAGTAAAATACATAATATTTTATCTTAAAAGGTACTTGCACCACATAATTGCTTAGAAGTTGATATATTTTAACATATTTACAGCGTAATAATAGACATTTCTGTCAAAACATGACGTAAACAGAATTTATTACCTATATTTGTTTTGTTTATTTGTATTTTCTTTGATTTGTCTTACATAGTATTTAATGACATACAATGTTTTGTCACCATGTTCTGACGTATTCATACATGATTAGGTCAAAGTTCAGGAGCGAACTTACGATGCAGCTATTATGACCAATTAACTTAATTAAATTTGATTCTGACTGCATACCTTACGTTTAACTATATGACTAATATAAATTATATAAATAAAATAATGTAATAAAAAAAAATTCTTAAATTGTGACGTGGAAGTCAGTGGTGGCCTAATTTTTAAAAGGCCCGCCTCTCATGCACGAGCGCGCGGGTTCGATCCTGGCCCTGGCAAGTACCAATGTGATTTTTCCGAGTCATATGTACTTTCTAAGAGTAAGTATTTAGACATCACTGATTAATGTATTTCCAAAGAGGGTTGATGTCAAGCAGGCGGCCGGTTGTAAAAACAATTAGCCGAAACTATTAACAAATATTTATTTATATATCATATATATACATATATATTGTATCTATTTTCTTTATGTATTAAGTAATTTGTACACCTCTACCATCCCATCTCTCTCCTCTACCAAAGGTTGCCTGGAAGAGATCGCTGTTTTAGCGATAAGGTCGCCTATTGTACATTTTCTTTTCTTTGTTTTAATCCTATTATTTTTGTCTATATTGGTATGCAATAAAGAGTATATAAATAAAACAAACATGTAAGGCAGACCCTGGCTAAAGCTAGGAAATTGCCAGGTAGAAAAATGGTGATGTGGAATAATAAAACAATTTTAAAACTAGAATGCTTGAGTTTCCAGATAGCTATGCATTATACATTCTGAAGGTTGCTAATGTTGATAGTGATTGGGAACCTAACCTTGACATTTTGGATAATTTAACAATTCCATTTAAATATTTCGACACAATTTGCGAGTTTTTTTTATTTCTAATTTATTCTTAATTTGAAAATAGAATAAATCTGTTTCAGGACGCATTCTTGTCAAAGCTATTTGAAATATATGTATTGCATTGGAAAACCAATAAATTAAACTTATTTAATGAGTTCTTTATAAATGTAACGTACCTTCAAGTTTCAACTTTAATTATATTCATGCTATGTATATACTAAGAAATTCAAACTATTATGTTGAATAAACACGGTGTCCTTATAAGTAAAAGATTTGTTTAATTAATGTGATCGTCTTAGAAGAAGGAAGATTCGATCCAAAAATTTCAAACTCATTTCCGCTATGGAGTAAGAGATATGAAGTTATTATAGAATTCTAGCGAATACCACTTTGAGTTAGACCAATAGATTATTATTAAAGATATTATTTTTCATATATATCATTGTTAGTACCTCAAGTAATTTGGATGTATCTTAATGGTCTGCATGCTCAAGGCCGCTGTGACCGGTTTAGGCCAGATTCCTCCGAATCGTCCGCATACAGTCCTGCAGAGGTCGATGCTATCGAAGATCATACTCCTGTTCAGGGTCGGCTGAGGGAAATCTGAGCGTTGACAACCCTCATCTGGCACACACTCGTATGTCCAAGACGGTCTGAAATTATATAATATATATATTGCTATCTCAAACTAATATATTTAATGATGAGATCTAAGACTTTCGCGAGTATTCATTTAAATTTATTATAAAATCGGTATAAAGCTGGGAGTATGTAGTAAGTAGTTTATAATCAAAAATAAAAATCGCGTACATAGTACATCCGAAAAATATTAGTTTCATTTATATTTAATGAATATGTAAGTATATTTAACAATAGTCTCAAATTAGTTTTAGTTTAACGTTTCAGTTTATCGATATTAATTCACAACAATCATTTAAATGAAACTAATATTTTCGGATTTTACTTCGCGTTTTTATTTTTGATTACAAACTACATACTCCCGACGTTTCGGCTACTTTTCAGTAACCATGATCACGGGCAGACGAGATGTGAGTGTCTGTCAGTTGGTTTGGTTATTTTATCTCCTACCGCCATTGATTCCTTAATTTTCTTGCGTAACGCTCTGGATGCCGGCAGAATGTAATCAAAAATAAAAACGCGAAGTAAAATCCGAAAATATTAGTTTCATTTAAATGAGTACTCGCGAAAATCTTAGACCTCATCACAACAAGCATGTTTAATTTTTGTTATTAAAAACAATTAAATTAATGAAATAATTTAAAGAATAATTTTGTTGTAATATAACTTCATGAAATAGAATTTGTTTTAATGATACTCATTAAAACCGGATTTGAATGGTAGATAGCGATGCATAATTTGAAAAACATATTGTTAATTTTAGGTTGATCGGACAAATAAACAATTATCAATATTTTTATTTATCAATATTTTATACATACGCAAAATATTTTCTCTTTAAACGAGAGCTAAGACTTTCGCGAGTAAAGATTTAAATAAACTATTATTTTCGGATTACTACAATTATTTTATTATTTTTTTAAAACTACGTACTAACGACGTTTCAATTTTGCTGCAAGATCGCGGTTGCTGCAAAAATAACCGAAACATAGGGTGTATGTAGTTTTTAAAAATAATAAAATAACGCGTAGTAATATAAAAAAATGGTTTTATATTACTGTTTACAGTTGATAGTGCTATTTATTTTGTTGTTTGTTAGTGTGCTTACTACAATTTGTCACTACACACGAAGCGTTTTCCGTTCCTCATCCAATAACTTACGTTAACACAGTAATATTTGGGATTTTTGAATGAAAATTCTTAGCGCCTCGTATGTAGTTTGAGGACGTAAAACTTGTGGTATAGTCTACTTACTACTACTAGTACTATTAACTACTACTACTTACTACTAATACTTACTCATAAACGACTGGCGTTGATTCCTCTATGTCATTATCTGTGTCCTTACAGTTGACTAAATTCACCAAAATTATCGCCAGCACCAGTAGACGACACATTTTTATTAACCTGAATAATAAATAAATTACTTATAAGAAAAAAACTAAATTTTCCATCTTTGTTTGATAGAGAAACATAGAAAGAGACAGCCATACATTCAATATGAGATAATAAACTATATTTTTATATTAATACTAGCTTTCCCCCCGCAGCTTCGCCCGCGTGGATTTCGGTTATATTGCCTTTCCAAGAGAACCTTTCAAAAGTCTGGGATAAAAACTATCCTACGTTCTTTCTCAAGGTCAACTCTACTCTGTGCCGAATTTCATTACAATCAGTTCAATGGTTTAGACGTGAAAGCGTAACAGACAGACAGACAGAGTTACTTTCGCATTTATAATATCAGTAGGGATATAAAATCTGCTCAGTTAGTTTGTTTTCAACATATATTGCGAGGGTTTTTGATACGGGTAGAGATTGTATTATCATTTAGAATAATAATTTTAATACAATAATAATGTAGTGGAATATCCGTCCTAGTTCAAACTTATATTTTCAATCTTTGAATAATTTACTAAATAAATTCGGTTATCAAAGAGGTTATATATAACTTGTTCAAAAAGTTCTAAGTAAACGCAGCTATTATTATTCCGTACTAATTAATTCGTCGAACCGAAGCTGCTAATGATATGATTGCGAAATGAGAATTCAAGATGAAATTGTTAAAAATATTTTCATTTCGTTACATATCCAGGATGTTATTTAATTCCGACGTGTTTGTAAACAACATAAATATTGTTGTTGACGTTTTAAACTGTTGTTAGCGTTGCGTGTTATATGTTGCTACAGTTTTATCGGAACCTCTGCTTCCTAGCGCGATGTCGACACGATAATTCACATTCATATTACTGAGCGTGATTTTAAAAGCAAATTATATGCACATAGAAATTATAGACGTAACAATTTCCGATTTCCGATATATTTAGTTCCGAAATCGGTAAAAAATCGATATTTATTGCATATTGAATTATTTGTACATACAATCTCAGTGTAATTTTAAGGTGAGTGTGATTTTATAAAACTTAGATACAATATCAATTATCATATTACATGTTTAATTTATTTAATACGTAGGTATATATCACAAGTAACGTTAGTTTAAATGAATAATTAATAAGTAACGGTATTTATTTCTGCAAGCATTTATGAATATATAATTTTCCCAATCTAAATTTACTAAAGACTTGTCAAGGTGTTTGTTATGTGTAGAACAATTAATGAAATATTATTTCTTACTTGTATGTTTATTGTAACTGGATGAATCGGTACTAAGAAAATTAAAGTTTAATATTTAATAGAATTAAAAATAAAAAGTCGTCTTGGTCTAGAGGTTAAAAAGGCCCGCCTCTCGTGTATCATCTAAGATTTTCGTGAGTTTTATTCATTTAAATGAAACTAATAAATGAAACTACCCGATTTTATTTTAGATAAAAACTACATACTTTGTAACCGTGATCACGGGCAGACGAGATGAGAAAACATTGTGAGAAAACCCGGATTGATAATTCAAATTATAAGTTTGAAATCGCCAATCCACCTTGAGCAAGCGTGGTGATTAACCTTCTCCATGTGAGAACAGGCATTTGCTCAGTGAACACCTATAAGCTGGTGATGATTTAAAAAAATATTTTAATATTAAATTAAAATGGTTACAAACATTTTAATATATATTTATTACATTATTGGACATAGTAACTTATTAATTATGTTACTGTGTTAGTATTTATCAGAATAATCCAAGAATAACTTCATATAATTAAAAAATATATCAAAATATTTTGAGTCTAATTTATCAATTGCTGATTGAGACCAGAACATTTTGTGGTTTTCGTCAAGCTCTAATAAGTGTTGTTAAAAATAGATCTAAGAAATTGGGAAAAGAATAAAATATGCCATACCTTTTTTCTATTAAAATTAAATCTTCATTAATTTATATATTAATTATTATATTATTTTCAATATTATGTTATTGTCTTTGTACGAGAGTCTGTCATTTAGCAAAGCTGTCATTTTCTATCTTTTTTTTTCTATTTGGACAGCAGTAACTATTTTTATGAAACAATGATTTTTGTAGTGTAAATTCGCAATTATGGAAATGCCAATAATCTTCAACTTACGTTAACTTTTATTCTATTTCACCTTTTATTTTGTGCAAAGAAGAATATATTTAAGGCTCAGCAGCGTCTGCTATTAATATAAAGTTTTTATATATCAACAGCTGATATTTTTTGGAAGCTTTTGCTTAATAGAAATTAATAATGTACAAAATCAAATCGATATTATGGAATATCTAATATTCAATATTAAATATTTGTTATAATGAAACTATATTTCTGTTTTATATTTTCGTACCAAAAATACAAAACGACGATAGAAAGCAATTTTTTAATACATTATTATAGCTTATCTTGAATTAATATCCCAAATTAAGAACGATTATTATTTATATCTACATTATTGACCATAAAAACAAGGCCATATAATGATAACAAATTGTTTATATATCATAAATAAAAATATACCAATAAAAAAGTCCAATAATGATAATTTTGAGTCAGCATAAAACCTCCTTGGTTGTTATATGAATTAAAAATTTCTGTTTTTTTTTTCTTCCATGAAAAAGAGGATTAATGCTTCCGCCGCTTTCATGACACGTATTTCATGAAATAGATCGTAAGTGTTCTATTAAATATACATTATGTTGATTTATTTCCTTATACTATATATTTTTTACGTTTCTTTATTACGCTGTAACTTCTTTATGTCTAATCCGCTGATCATAAAATTTAGTTTAGTTGTTTATGAAACGACATAAACAAAGTTTTTATAGACTATGATTGGGCAGCGAATAATACTTTTTTTTTAACAAAATATTATATTACAAAAATTAAATTAAAAATAATTTCGAATGTAATGTAATAGGAATTTAATAATACATAAGATAATATTTATTTCATCGTAAAATATCTCGTTATCACATTTTAAATGTAAAAATTCTGCAATTAGTTTTTATTTATTATAGCGATGCCGCCATTCTTGTATTACCTATTAAGTGCAAAGATGGCATTAATTGCTTTCAGTATTTTTTATAAGCATCGCAATTATTGTTCGATTTATCAATGCATGTGGTGTTGTTGGGTAATAAATAATAATATATTTTTTATACAAACAAATGTTTATATTAAAATAAAGTCCTATTTAAAGTGATTCCACTGAATAATGAATTATTCTTATGAATAATAATATAAGAAAAATTAAGTTAATTTATAAACAAAGCAAAACGAGGTCAACATAACTTATACAATAAAAATTAAAGTTGAAATAGTAAATAATAAACTATGTAGTTGTATATATACATATAAGTGTTATATATTATTTAACAAATATCAATAACGACGTGATAATATAAATAAGATTTAAAAACAAACAAATAGTTCAAATACTTACTTTAATTGTCTAAGTACATTCATTTATCCTCTTTACTGTCACTTTTATTTGCAACTGGTCACACAACTATCACTTTTATTCACTACTTTGAATCAAAAACATTCTGATTTTAAAATATAAAAAAAAAACATGCAAAACGTCTCGAGCGAGCAGGATTTATATATATTTTTTTTATTCGTTTAGAAACCGGACTGCAGTTTTCGCGCTAGATGCGGCCGCGTCGACAGTGGCGTGTGCTATGGCCCGCTTGTTGCTTGACACGGTTTTAAGTAGTTTTGTTATAGTTTGACGTACGCTTTATCAATTATTGATAAAGAGTAAAGCGAGGAGCGCTAAATAATACAATTACAATAATATCTATTCATTAATAATTTTATGATTGTCAACTGTCATCTTTTGACATGTATATTTTATAAATAAAACATTTTTTTTATATATCGATCTTTAAACCTTATTATTATTTCTTTCATTTTGATAACCTTAATTAGGTTTTTAAGATTTGTAAATGCTTTAACGGTTTAGTAATAAATACAAAAATATTTCTTAAAAGTATTTTATAAAAGTTACAAGTAGGACATTGTACTCTCGAGAAAAAGATAAACAGTGTTATCATACAAAAGAGTGTTTTTTTTTTGTTCAAAAATGTTTACTCTATCATACTATGCACCTATTTTTTATAATAATATAAAGACAAAAGTTTTTTTGATATCTAATTCTAGAATGCAAAAAAAGTACATCCATGATCTAGCTACATGTAAAACATATTTTGATTTCAAATTATACAATATCAACCTAAAAATATGGGAATAAAAAAAAACTTTGTAATTATTTGTATATAATAATGTCAATGAAGTTAAATTAATCTGTATTATTATTTAAAAACTGCTGGTTATTTAATATCTGAGGATTTGTATAAAACAGTATTTTTATATCTACACAAATCTTCCGGCGCCATTTTAACAATCTAAATTATAATCCTTACATGTTGAATGTCATCGTGTTATAAATATATTTATTATAGTAACAAATCCTGGTACTTATTGGTGTTTTATTAATAGTGTATACACGAATAGCCCTTCGCTGTCTGACGTCAATGGCGTTGAAGCCAAAATCACTTTAACATATTACATAAACGGGACACCTCTTTTGAAAACTGTGTCGGACAATAGGCTAAATATATACATTTAAATATAAAAATATATTTACAGTCAGTGGTGGCCTAGTGGTTAAAAGGTCCGCGTCTCATGCATGAGCGCTGGTTCGATCCTGGCAATTACCAATGTGATTTTTCCGAGTCATATGTACTTTATAAGAGTATTTAGACATCACTGATCAATGCATTCCCAAAGAAGGTTGATGTCAGGCAGGCGGCCGGTCGTAAAAACAATTAGCCAAAACTAGTCACAACATGTAAGGCAGACTGGCTAAAGCTGGGAAATTGCCAGGAAGAAGAATAAAACTATATTTACAATATAAATAAAAAGTAATGTGTAGTAGTTTAAGCAAAGAAAGGTAAATGCTTAGTCTTATTGTAATGGAATACAAAATATTA